TATTTTATTATTTTTGTGTGAGTGTACCATCAAATCAGATCTGACTGGTACAGGAGGAAATTGTCCCTCCTTCCCCGGCAGAGCATCTGGTGGATTCCAACCGTGCACCTCTGAGATTGTAGTTGCAGCTCCTTGCCACTAGGCCACCAGAGCTCCCCTGGATAGTATAATTTAAAATCACCTTTTTTTTTACTCTTCTTCACCAGTTAGTCAAATAAGTAGGATAGAATTTTTATAATGTTTAGATTATCTACTAATAACATTTTTCTCTTGAATTTCCCCCTGATTATACTGTTACTAATAGAGCGTTGTTTTACTTAATTATCTTTTAGGCTTTAGGATCTTTCTCTTGATTAGTTGATGTTAGTGCTTTTTTATATTATGGGCTATTGTGTAAGTGAATAAGGTCTTATAGTTATAAATAAATAATGCCTGTCTTGGGCAGTCTCCTCCCTTGTGATTAACAGCCTCTGAAAACCTGCTGAAGGATTCTTTGTCATCCTTGCCTCCTGGTAGCATTCTGACTCTACCCTCTCAATAAGCACATCTGTGCTTATGGAATATTCAGTACACTTCTTCAGCAGCACAACTCAAACATATAGACTCTTCTCTGTCATCTTTATTCATTGTTTAGCTTTCAGAAGTATAGCAAATGATTGATTATAAGTGATTGTAGCATTTGAAAAGACCATGGCCTGAATCAGGTACACCTCAGTCTTCAGACTGAAGTCATTGCTCTTTGGCAAGTTGGAAAGATCCTTGACAGGAGATTTTCTCAGTGCAATCATCTCCTGATTTTCTGACTGCTGGTATCAAGGATGTTGATTGTAGATGCAAGTAAGATGAAATTGTTGACAACTTAAGTCTTTGAGCTGTGGGGTTGGAGAAGAGTATTGAATATACCATGGACTCCTAAGATGCAAGTAGGATGAACTTGTTGACAACTTAAGTTTTTTCTCTATCATGATGTTGCTTATTGGTCTAGTGGTGAGGATTTTTGTCTTCTTGATGTTGAGATGCAGTTCATATGGATGGCCTTATACTTGGATCTTCTGCAGCAAGTGTTTTAAGTCCTCCTCACTTTCCGCAAGAAAGGTTTTATCATCTGCTTAATGCAGCTTCTTAATGAGTCTTCCTCTAATCCTGATACCACGTTCTTCATGGAGTTCATCTTCTCGAATGATTTGTTCAGCATACAGATTAAATAGTTATGGAGAAAGGACACAACCTTGATGCACTTCTTTCTTGATTTTAAATCATGCAGTGTTCCCTTGCTGGGTTAGCACAACAGCTTCTTGTTCTGGGTATAGGTTTTGTATGAGCATAATTAAGTGTTCTTGAATTCTCATTTTTCTCAATGTGAGTCATATTTTGTTATGATCCACACAGTCAGAGGCCTTTGCATTGTCAATAAAATGCAAATAAACATTCTTCTGGCATTTTCTGTTTTTAGCCAGGATCCATTTGCCATCAGCAGCAATATCCCTGGT